CTATCTTCTCAATCAAAACTAACATTATGTGATCGATGCTGTATTGTGAAAAACACTAAAATAGGTTAAAACTATTAGATTTTACCTATTTCAAGAAGTAATTCATTTAATGAATTTCAAGAAGTAATTGCTGTCTTGTGTTAAACACATTGCGTACTTCGTAAACAACATTGTCAGAAGAAAGTATATCAATGAAGACGTAAAGATTCTGCTTTTCAGTCGGTTTTGCCAGTCGTGTTTGTTCGCAATTTGTCTTTCCCATAATAACAGGCAAGCGTGTATTAATGGTATTGATACGATCTGAAAGACTGCTCGTCTCGTTTTCGTGGGATGGAATACCTGTTGCACGCAAAAAGGATCCGAGTAGTATTCTACCAATAAGTGTTGTCTTCCTCCGAGCAGAAAGCTTTTAAGTGTAAAAGGTAGCGACGATTTGGGTGTTGATAAAACAAAATGACTTTTTTTAGTTGGAAAAGGCGTGCGTGTGTGTTTATGTGTGCTTATTTCTCATACACCGATATTGGTTTTAGTTTAATACAAACCTTTGCAACAAAAAATATTTTTTCTTAATGTTCGAAACCCTAATGTTTTTTGAATATGTACGTAATTGCTGGGTGAAGATTTTATTTCTATCCAATTTGACATGCTTTTATTTCGTTTGTGGCAATTTTACGTTCCAGAAACTCAATTCCTATATAGCAAAGATAGTATCTTCATATACTCCGACATGCGTAAAAATGGAAATAAAATCTTTAAATGTTTTTACTTTCCCCTGCAATTATGTGATATGACGTGATATTCATGATTGAGGCATTCTGCGTAGTTAGTAGCTTTTAAAAGTCCTATGTGTATTTACGATCTAGAGATTTTCGATTCATGTTTAGATTTAAAATTCAAAAATTCCTTTCATTGCCAGGGAAAAATAATATTAATTTCCAGTATTTTAATAATTTATTAATTACCAACTATGCAATGTCCGCTCAGATGCATTAAACATATATAATTGAAGAAATAACATTGATACATTATATTACTGATTTTGAAAAATGTAGTTTGAAAATTTCATTTTTACTTTCTCGAATATGAAATACAGAGCAAGTTTAGTGAAGCTAGAAGGAGAAAAAATATTAGTTGCGTTGAAGGATCAGTGTCAGATTAGAGCGATCGGTTCGGTAAATCCTAAGTCTGTAGCAATCTTCTTGTTTAAATTAAACTATAATATTACTCCCAATTTGCGGAGAAATTGAAATGGCGATGCAAGAGGTCTGTGATTCCGTTAGATACTCGAGAGCTCGGTCAAATCATAAAACAATATAACATTTTCGATTTTGAGTGAAAAATACAAATATTTGATTCTCATTCCGCTCTTTCTCGTACTACGCGTACCGTCTGAATTCTTCTACTCAGTGCATCACTATTTACGACACAGCTAACGTCCAGCGACAGCAAGACTTGGAGAAAGAGGTCTCCTGTCATTAAGTATTTGCTATTTACACGTTTTGCAGCAACTTTTTTTTGCATTTTCTTGGTAGCAAAACTACGATACTATACTATGTTATTGCTGTATTTATGAAGTGTTACAATATTGAATTCATTGCTGTGTTATACGAGAGTATTTTATTTGTTCTTCTTGAGCAGTGTGCATACCACTTTTAGGAATACCATTTTTGTTGCTGTATTGTTCAGTTTTCTCTTCTAGTTTACTGTCTAACCATTATTTTTTACACTTGCTTATTAAAGAGAAAATACTGTAATGCAGCGAAAATTGGCGTTTGCGACGGAAAACCTTCAGTTAGTTTCGCCAAAGTCATTAGTCCCGTAAGTATTTTGCATGTTTTTTGCTCGGGAGGTGGCGGTGATCTTTCCTCCGCTGAATGGCAGATATTCGGCGCCAACTTATCGGTCGGCTTGCGGGGTTTTCCCCAACCAGGTATCTTCCACTGTCCGGGCACCACCTCATCCGAGCTCTAAGCTCCCGGCACGTGAGGCAGTGTAGTGTGCATGTAAGTATATGTAAGGGGCGAGGATAGGACAAGCAAAGAGAAGGAAAGATTGCGTGCGGTCCGCGGCCCGTTTGGTAGGGTACTGCTCCGGCACTCGTCTGTGGTTGATCGGAGAAACCACGGAAAACTAGCGATCAGAGCCGCCGGCCGCTAGAATTCTCCTCTAGACTGCGACAGAACTCGACCCAGCTATCTGGCTAGTGTCGAAAATCCTTCAACCGTCAGGACTCGAACCAAGGAGCTCCAGGCCAGAGGCACTGGCCTGGAGCTGGCCTGGCCTGGCCTGGAGTGCTCCTAGGTAGAGCACTGCAGTGATATTAGTTGATGCCCTGAGCCACCTCTCCGGTCCCAACATGTAGCAACTTACTTCCTCTAATACGCTGAGTAGTCAGAATCCACTATTTTTAGGTCGATGCCTTCGAGAAACTTCATACAATGGCAAAACGTCTGCCCGTTCGCGATCAATTCTGATCACTCCTTTCATAGGATTTTCCCCAAAATTAAAATTGTCGATCCCTGTCAATCTAGCCGAACTCGATGCCCCCCGAATTTGAAACTGATATTTTAAATTCGCACTTCGCAAGAAGCCTCAACTTTTCAAAATTTTCTCAAAAATTGCTTCGTAGATAGAACAATACATTAAAATCCCGCAGGTGCGATTTTCTCTGAACTTTTGAAAATACTAAAAGTTAAAAATTATCCACCTTCCTAGAACTACAATATTGAATATAGTGATTTAAAAAAAAATTAAATTAGATCTTTAATTGTGTACAATTTTTCTAATATGTGAATAGTTTTCTTGTAATTTTGAGTGACCGTTACAAATAATGTGCTGCAGCAGCACCACTAGTTTCTCCTCTTGCTGTGTTTGGACTTGGCAGCAAGCCTAGAATATAAGACATTGCTTGCTACGCAAACTCTGTATTTTCAGTGCACCTGTAAGCTGTGAGTGGACTTGTCTCATTGTCAGAGATATTTCGAGAACCTGTAAAACACCATTGCAAGATGTGTTGCCTACCAAACAGGGGGGGGGATGTCACATGAGTAACTTTGTTTTCCCCATCGCGTGTTCAGGCCAAAAGTGATAATTTTCGCCCTACCTATATGCCATTTATATAATGTGTGTATTTGCGCGTGTGCATGTATTTGCTCTTGAATAAGCCGACTTAGGCCTCGCGTGCGCCGGGGCTCAGTAACATTATCTCGGTGCATGTAATTTTATCATGGGATCAGCATTTAGCTAAATCCGTGTTTTATCCCCCCGGGCTGCTAGTCCTGGGGGTATGAAAGATGAAATGATGATAGTGAGGGTCGAAATGACAATACGTACGAACACAAACACACGCGCGGGACTCGAACCCGCGATCGCGCTGATCCGAGACCGCTTCGGCACCACTACCTTAGCGATCTCAGCCATCTGATCGGTATTATTATTATTATTATTATTATTATTATTATTATTATTATTATTATTGTTATTATTGGGTGATGATGTGGGGTGAAAGGACTAGGATGATGGTATGGTGTTAGGTAGGGGAGTGGAGTGGGAGGTGGGAAGTGTTCGTGGGCTTTTGGAACCATCCCAGCATTTGTCTTGTGACCGAGGCAAAACACAAAAAATGCCGATCAGAATGGCCGGCCCGCGGATCGAACCCGGACCTCCCGAATGCGAATCGAGCGCGCTCCGCACTAAGCCACTTGCTTTGAGCCGCTCGGTGTTTGTATTATATTTATACGTGTATATTATTTTTATACATGCATGATATAAATTGAGAACATGTGAGTAAGTGTGTGTGTGATATGTGGTGGTGCGCAGGTGGTGTACATCGCGCCGCTGAAGGCGCTGGTGCGCGAGCGCATGATGGACTGGCAGGAGCGCCTGGAGCGGCGGCTGGGGCGACGCGTGGTGGAGCTGACGGGCGACGTGACGCCCGACGCGCAGGCCATCGCGCGTGCGGACGTGATCGTGACGACGCCCGAGAAGTGGGACGGCGTGAGCCGGTCGTGGCAGACGCGCAGCTACGTGCGCGCCGTGGCGCTTGTCGTCATCGACGAGATCCACCTGCTGGGCGAGGACCGCGGTCCGGTGCTCGAGGTGATCGTGTCGCGCACCAACTACATCGCGGCGCACACGGAACGCCGCCTGCGCGTCGTCGGCCTCTCCACGGCGCTCGCCAACGCGCGCGATCTCGCCAACTGGCTCGACATCGGGGAGGTGGGTCCCGCTCCGCTCACCGCGCCCCGCGCCCCGCCACCGCCCCTTCCCGCCCCTTCC